TATGACAACTCAATTAGTTTCAACATCTTGGATTATTGATTCGAGAGCTAATGCTCGCATGTTTAGTATTTCATCCTTATTTTCTAATTTTTGTTCTTGTACTCTCAAATTGTGCTAGTTGATGGTTCTTTTCGACCAGCACGTGGGATTGGTGATCTCTATCCCTAAATCCATGTCTTTAATTTCTAGTTTATTTGTTCCTCATTTTCCTTTTTAACTTGTTATCTGTGAGTCAGTTAACAAAGTCTTTACACTATTCAGTGACTTTTTCACCATCTTTTTGTGTCTTTCAGGACTTCTCGACGAAGAAGATGATTGGTTCGAGGGCATAAGTAGAATGGTCTTTACTATTTGGATTCCAGCACAATAGTTCTTGTCTTGAATGCTACCATGTCGCCACTCTAGTGTATTTTCGATTTGGTTATCCTTTTCTAAAAAAACTTCGTCAAGTCATTCGTAGTTTGAATCCTTATTTTGTATTAAAGTGTGGAGCTTGCCAATTAGGCAAGCATCACCATATTTTTTCCTACTAGTAGTACAAGTCGTCAGTCTAGTCCTTTTGATATTGTTCACTCTGACATTTGGGTCTTGCAAGAACAAAAAAATATTTTTAGATTTCATTATTTTGTAATCTTTGTTGATGATTGTTCTCGTATGATTTGATTTTTCCTTATGAAGGATCGTTTTGAGTTGCCTAAAGTTTTTATCACCTTCTATAATGAGATTCTGTTATAGTTTGGTGAGTGTATTAATGTACTCCATTCTGACAATGCTCTTGAATATATACAATTATTTATCCATACATTTTGTGCTGATGTTATCTTTTTTGAATCTTTTTCCTTCTTTTCTATGTCAGGATATGATCTTTCCCTGAATTTAATTTCTACTAGTCAGGGGGAGCTCTTGTTGCCTCTCGTCCCAAATATTGTATTTTCTTCCTCTTCAATTTTTAACCCTCCATTGTAGGTTTATTGTCGATCCACTGATAGTCAGGTTGTTCCATATGCTCCAGCACCCTGACTAATGTTTGATTCTCCTAAGGTTCTTTGTCTTGAGCCATTTACGAGCTGGCCATTTTTTGATTTGTCCATTGCATTGCGGAAATGTACTCGTACTTGTACTCAACATTTTATTTTTAATTTTGTCTCTTTGCTTCGACTTTTCCCATTTTTTTGTTATTTTGCGTAAGCATTGGCTTTTGTATTTGTTTTTAGCTCCTTGAAATAGGCATCGACATTTCTTGGATGGAAACTGATTATGGATGAGGAAATTAAAACCCTCCAAAAATCACACTTGCAACCTCACTTCTCTTCCATTTGGGAAGCAGTCTATCAGTTGTCGTTGGGTATACACTATGAAATATTATTTTAATGGTTCAATTGAGCGTTTGAAAGTGTGATTGGTTGTTAAAGGCTGCACTCAGACATATGGTGTGGATTACTGTTAGACATTCTCTTTTGTTGCTTGTCTTAACTCATGTTAGAGTTCTTATTTCTATTACGGTTGATTGACCCTTATATCAACTAGATATAAAAAATGTCTTTTTACATGAAAATTTGCAGGAGGAGGTATATATGAATCAACCCACCAGTTTATGTTGTTCCAAGTAAGGAACAATTAATGTGTTGGTTGAAGAAAGCATTGTATAGCTTGAAAAAGTCACCACATGTTTGGTTTGATAAGTTTAGTACAGTAGTGTTTTAGTTTGATTTTCAACGCTCTACTTCAGATCATTAAGCTTTTATTCGTCGGTCTTTTATGTTGGTGTTATTATTGTTATTGATGATATTATAATTAGTGGTAATGACTTAGATGGTATTGTTGACTTCTATTTAGGGAACAATTCCATACCAAAGATTTGGCTCTTCTTCAATACTTCTTAGGGATTGAGGACCCGCAGTCAAATGACGACATTAGTTTATATCAATGGAAGTATGTATTGGACTTACTATTTGAATCTAGTACTCTTGATATGTGACCGGTTGATACTCCCATGGACTCTACAGTAAAGTTAAATTCGGAGAGTGGAGAAGTTTTTGGTTGGTTGGCAAGTTGATTTATCTCAAAGTGACACGTCCTGATATTTACATGTGTTAGTGTGGTTAGTCAGTTCATGCACGCTCTTCGTAAGCCTCATTGGGAGGTTTTGTGTCGCATACTTTGGTATTTAAAAGGTGCTTCGGGGAAAGGATTATTCTATCGCCCATTATCATCCATAGCTGTTGTTGGTTTTGTTGGGCAAGTATTCATGGTGATAGACGATCTATTTTTGACTGTTGTACGTTTATTGGTGATAATCTTGTTATTTGACGTAATAAAAAGCAAAATGTGATTACACATTCTAGTGTTGAGCCTGAATATCGAGCTATGACTTATATTGTATGTGAGGTATTATGGGTTTGCTCTTTTACTTCGTGATATGTGCATTAGTGTGTCGTCTCTCATGAAAATGCACTGTGACAGCCAAGCAACGATTTTTATTGCAAGTAACTCGGTATTTCTTGACCGGACTAAACATATTGAGGTGGATTGTCATTTCATTCGACATCTCTTGATACATAAGGAGATTATCACTCCATATTTTAAGTCTAGTGATCAGCTGGGCAAAATTCTTACCAAGCCATCAGTGAGGGCTGCCTTCAGTGATTTATGTTTTAAGTTCGACATTTTTTTATCTTTATAGTCCAGCTTGTGGAGGAGTGTTAGAAGTTCTTATATTTTTTATTAGTTATATTTAATGAGTATAGGTTAATATTGATATTTATCCTAATTATTTCTTCACTAGAAATTTGAAAGTGTAGGGCAGCACAACTGGACACACATTATTTCTTTCAATCTTTTTTATTCTTTTCTTCCTACTCAAGTTTACAGTTTAGCTTAAGACATATGCATTCTTAGTTCATTTGGGGATGAAACTTATTTGAGATGTTGTATATAATGATGCTCATGACAGGTAATGGCAATTTGAACGGTAAAGATGGAGTTGCAACTCCATTCAATTGCTAAAACAATTGAGAATGGGATAGTATGATGTCGTAAGTACTAACTTGCAAAGGGATAGGATTGTATTTTTATATCAACAAAAGCTCAGTGGATTTGAATTACAAGGAAAAGTGTTGTGCACTTGTTATCAGCAGGCTTGAAAAGGGTCGTGCCCCAATTGTCGAAGTTCCAACGATGTGTAATGTTGCTGAATTCTCCCCCCCCCCCCCCCCAAAAAAAAAAAAATCATCAGCTATAATTTTCTAATCTTTTGGAAGTCTTGGAGTAGGTGGTGTTTCTCCTCCTCCTTTTGCTTCTCTCTTCAGGATTTGGATCCGACCTAGTCTAGTTGGCTATATGATGAGAATTTAATTATCTTTCATTACAATAGACATAAACGTAGATTTTGATGAGATATCTTTAGGCATTATCCTGAGATCTGTTTAAAATTTAACATTATTAGTTGATAGATGGTAGGAATAATTGAGTCATATTACGACACTGTTAGACTAGCTATTTAGTTGTCTTTATAAAAAGGGGATGGATGTACATATTATATTGGATTTGGAGTATTGCATAAAATTGTGATCTTTTCGTTCCCAAATCCTTCTCTTCTCATCCATATTTCTTCTCTCCTCATCTCCATTTCTTCTCCCAATCTACATCAAAATGGTATTGGAGCTAAAAGTTCATTTGCATGACCCAAGATCCAAATTGAAATTAAGTTGTTGATAGTTCCAACATCTTGTAACCTCAATTTGAATGATTGATGATGATTCAACTTATGGGTTCAATGTGGTAGAGACATGATACGATAAAAAGTACTCTGTTCAGTAGTATCAATGATCAAGCAATTGAAAGAAGATTCTAAAGGATGGAAATCATGATGGTCTAATGGAAAAAAAATATGATTCTCACTGTGCGTGTGTCCGAAATATGTGACACCGAGGACTTGTCCCTATTTTCTTCCATTGAACGGTTTTCAAGAATCTTTAGTTAAGTAGGAAAGTTGAGTGGTGACTTCAAACAATTGGTTTTTAGTCCTCCTACACTTCTCACATAATTGGCTGAGTGAATTGTTGGTCACTATGATGCCATCCTTGAGTATTCTAAAGCCCAAGCTGCCCTAGGGAAAAAGGTTGAGACCCTTTTAATTCTTAGTTGACAGATGGTAGGAATAATAGTCATATTAGGATTCTTAGACCAGATATTGTTTGTCATTATAAAAAGGGAATGGATGTATAGATTGTATTAGATTTGAAGTATTGAATAAAATTGCGATCTTTATGTTCCCAAATCCTTCTCTTCTCATCCATATTTCTTTTTTCCTTATCTCCATTTCTTCTCCTAATCTACATCAATATAATTTTGCCTTTCATTTATCAGCATTGGTGAATCGAAGGCTTCTTAGTGAAGCTAGGATTGCCCCAACACACTTTTTTGTGTATGTAGCATTTGGGAGGTGGGTGAGCTAAGTCATATAGTATCTATGAAGCAGAGTTCTAGTAGTGAAAAAGGAGAGTTCTACACCACTAATGGCTGACGCGACTCTTAGAACTAACCCCTACAACATTGGAAAGTATTGGTGACCCACCCAATGTTACCTGGATCGTGGGTCGCTTTGGTACGTGGTACGGGTACGGGTACATGATACAACACTTTCCTAGGTACGCGGTACAATGGGGGTAGGTTTAGTTGGTACGATATTTTGGGTCGTAATTTATTTTGAAACTCTTATGTAGATTGTTTTCACTACTGTACAACATTATATATTACAAAATATTTATAAACACTAAGTTAGTTATCCTTTATTTATAATTATGCTTGATTTTCATTTATCTAAAATAAAATATAATTATAAATCTATATACATATAATCAATTAATATGTATTTTATATTTGTACTACATGTTCCGAAGCGAATTGAGTTAGGGTTAGTATTACAATTTGGGGTCGTCCATTTTAGTGATCCGGATCACGAACCCACTTCGTTTGGGATCGTTGTACTGAGATCGTGGGTCATTAAAGATTTAGTGAATTGTGATAACCATGGGCCCACCAGCTGCAGCTTGATGATAAAAATACATTTTTAGAGGGGATGAGGAATATCTTGCATTTTATAGGTATGGTATTAACCTTAATTATGTCACATAATGACGAGTGCAATCTGTAATGAGTTGCAAAACAGATGAGAAATAGGACATATCCCTTGTGTCAATTTGCATAATTGCTCTAATGACCTCAAATTCGCAGGATGAGAATAAAGGTTTAGGGAGTTGGGGAAGAAAAGGTTATCCATTGTTGGCTCACACTTGTACCAATGTGGGAATGTTGGGTGAATTTTCATAATAGGAAGAATGAGGGCCCGGGTTTGTTGAGGGAGGGAGAGATACAAATATTGTCCAATTGAAGATAAGACTTTTGTATGGAATTTGAAGGGTCTCACTGACTTGCAGAAGCAAATGGTGGAGGAGATGGTGAGAAGATGGAAGACGAGTGTGGCTTGTGTTTAAGAAACCAAAATGGGAATATGTCACCAATTGCAAATTTCAACTGTTGTTTTACATTGGACCATTCCTGAGCATTCATCCCATGAATTACATGTGAACAATTCCACTATCCAATTTAAACCGCCATTTTACATTGGACCATTTAAATGCCAAATGAAAACTATAGGGAGCAAAGGGACAAAATTGAAAGAATGGGCACCAAAGTGGAACAGAGCACATGCTTGAGATACTATTAGTATATTTCGCTCAAAGAAATATGTGGAGCCAATTGATGGCCACAAATCATGGCGAAGTTAGGCTGACCGTTCTTTCTTCTATCCATTTTAGAATCCTCCATTGCCCCCAAATAAATTATGAGTCGTGTTCAGGTGGTTGCATGAAGTTCTTGTTGAGTATATTTTTATATAATATATGGAAACTGAAGAAAAGTCGCATCTAAATAATCTCTCTCATGCAGTGCCTCCTTGGCTTACAAGAATTACTCAGAGAATGTACGAGGAATCAAGGTTGTTTCCTTCAGCAATTAATCATGTACTCATCAATGAATACCTTCCTAACCAAGGCATAATGGTTTGTTCACTCTACTAGTTTGGTTTATGAATTCATTTTCTTCTTCTCCTGCTATCCCTATGTAGCCCTCTATTCTGTTTTCTCTCTTATTGTGTTTGTTTCTATTCGTGTGTACTCTCCCTCTCCTCTCTCTCTATATATAAGAAAAATCAACCCCAACTGCATGAATAATCCTCATTGTAACTTAACTTATGTTTGTTGCCATAGTTGAGCCTCAATCTCTATGCCTGAATAATCACAAGATTTACTATGATTGGGTGAGGCTTAGTTATAAAGATGAAAGTTTCATAGGGAATGAGTGGATGGCCGAGTGACACAAGTGACTTGAGGGTCGAGAGATGGCCAATTTATTTGGTTTGTCCTTTGAGAATCTTAATGCTCTACATTTCCAATTAGCGCTAAGTTTTAGTTTAAATCTCAGGAGGCAAAGGTTAAAGGAAGGAAAAGGCTGAACAATAGCATTCTCTCCAAATCAATTTTTGCATTTTCTTTTTACATTCTTTCCTTTCCTTTGCATTGCCCCATTCAGTCAAAAGTTGTTTCAAAATGCGTATTTATAATTGGTCTCGTGTTAGTTGTAATGATAAGTTGTCTGTAATACAGCCACACCAGGATGGACCAGCTTACTTTCCAGTAGTGGCAATTTTGTCGCTTGGATCACGTGTTGTTATGGACTTCACTCCCCATCCAAGTTTGACAAACTCTGTAAACACAGTGAGAAACAATGTTGAAGATACAATTTCTGCTAGAGCTTTGGAGAATGAAAGTGAAAAATTGTTGGATAGTTATGATCCTTTTTCTGTTGTATTGATGCCCTGCAGTTTACTGATATTCAAAGATAAGGCGTACTCAGGTGGATCTCAATTTCTTTTGCTTGCAAAGAGTTTATCTTTCTCTTGGCATGCCTAAAACATTGACATCTTATTTCTTTTTTCAGACTACTTGCATGGAATAAAAGATTGTGAGGTGCAACACTTCACTGGGGTAAGATGAGTGACCTAATGTGATGAGCTGTTGGAAAACAATGTATGAATTTTCCTGACAAGTAATAAAAAAATAATAATGAGAATTAAACAAATCTACCTTAAACACATCCTGAGGGCTTGTAAAAAAGCTTTCTTAGGGAACTGCACTGCCTGTTATCTATGATATCTTTTCATATTCTATTTCAGGCAGTCAATGTTGCTGAAACTTTGAAATTTCTTAGAGTAAATCAGTCACCACCACCTTCAGAAAAAGTGACTGAAGAGAAGAGGACAGCAGATAGTGTGCACAGAACTACCAGTAGAATTTCATTGACATGTCGAGTAGTGTCGAAGGTTCACAAAAATTTATTCAAGTTTTAGATTTCTCGCATTTGTTAGTTTCACTTTCTTGTTAAGATGGTTGCTGCACCAGATCATAAAAGAAAATTAGTGGTGGGAAGCCTAGCATTAAACAAGTTTAGGTTTTTCTCTACAGCAGCTTCTAATGATGGAATTCTAGTCATTGCTTATCAATTTAATAGCAAGTTATGCTTGTTTGATTCTCTTTTATAATATTTATTTTCTGACCTGTAAAATCTAACACCAAGTCAGAAGTAATGTTTAAACTATGTTCATTATGGTTTTTTTGACTTAAATGTTTAAAGATTAGGCAGCACAATCATGGAAGGATCAGCATCTGCATCTCTTGATAAATTTTCAATGGAACTTTAGGTGGGAAAATTGTTATTTTATTCTGAAAATCTCCTGCTCCACTGGGACCATGAGAAATACTTGTATTGCCAGTTTCTAGTTCTATGGCCTACATAAAACCAGCGGTGTCAATTGTTTAGCCTCTGACATTCTACATTGTTTCCTGATTTCGCCCTTTTCTTGATTATATTTTTTCCATGGGATGTGCTTTTACCAGTGGTTTATGCCCTCAAATCTCTTTAGTAGTAATTACTTTCATGGAGGCATAGGTATCATGCACTTATTTTGTTGTGAGAACTGCTGATTCGGGGTGGTTATCTATCTATCGATTGATTCGATTGGCTTTAACTTGGGCATTCCTACTAGCGTCCATAAGTTGGCTCAAGACAGTGGTGCGGTGCAGCTACTGAAGAACGTGATTAGCTGGTACGTGTTGCCCTTGCTTACATCTATGTAGGTACTTTAGGCAGGGTCATTAAACCCGGATCAGCCTGACAAGTTATTAACGGGCTGATACAATCGATTGTATCAGCCCGTTAATAACTTTTCTCAACCGGCTAATTTTTGGAAAATTCAGCTGAACTGGATGGTTTGTAATGAATCCGGTTCATCCTAAATAAAATATTACCACTTAGCATGGGGAGCATGGTGTGCTGTAAATTGGATCGGCAACATTTTGTGTTATGGCTCCACAAAACAGCCCCCCATATCGAATGGCACCATTTGAGCAAAACACCCACAAAAGAGACCCCTCCAGTTCAGAATTTTTCACTTCGTCTTTCACAACAGCGAATTTTTTTCTTCGTCTTCTACACAAAGTCCAAATCCAATACGGCGGGTAAGACGCATTTAGCTCACTGCTCACCGTCCGGTGCTGACAAAGTTTCACAATTTCGGTTCAAATTATTTCGTAAACATCTACACCTGACCAAGGTGTGATCAAACACTATTTCTATAATATTTGGTGAATTAGTTTTTATTGTATTAGTGTTTACATCCAAAAACTAGTAAGATCAAAATATGACACGTGGAAGGGATCTGACGGTCACAAGGGAGTCTGTAAGAGTCCGCAATGGACAGAACGGTTAAAGGTATAGGACTCTTGGAATCTGGACAAATGAGAAAAATGTAACAGTATGAGTCGCTAACAGAAAATGGTTTAGTACACATTCATGTATCTTAAGGAACAAGGCCATTGTAAGCTTTGATGAACATAATATTTGTCATAAGCATATTCATATGTGATATGCATGCGCATGGTTGATAACTATTATTTAATTAAGAATATTGATATGAGAATTGAACCCATACGATGAATATTTTAATATTTAGAAAGAACTTATGAATAATATATGAGGATTAGTGAGATTTAATGACCATAGGGGAATTGTTTTGTTTAAGTGTGAAAAATTAAATAAGTATGTTTACATATAATATGATTTTATTATTTTTATGTATATTAGTGCATGTGAAATTAAATGAGTGGCAAACATATCATATTCGCTTAATGTTTACAAAAATATGTGTTAGGATATGTAAGAAGTAGATTAAAGGCTAGCAATATAAATTTAATGGGTCATAAATACTTTGGTTATATATATATATGTGTGTGTGTGTGGAATTCTCCACTAACGGAGACATGGAATAAATTTATCTACATGCATAATGATGGAAGTTCCACTAAGGGGAAATGAATGGATGGGATTAAGAGGGAGAGGGAGATTGGTGGCTAGTGCATAAAGTAGAAGACTAGGATACTTGAGAAAAAAAAAAAGTGAGAAGGGAAGAGTCTCCTCTTGTGAGTCTTGGCTTAAAAAAAACAAAGGAAAGAAGAAAGAAAAAGAGAAGAAAACAAAGAAAAATAAACAAGACTCTTCACTCACACTTCAGAAATTTTGGTTAAGGTAAGAAGGGAAAAAAAGAAGCTTGAAAGTGGAGCTTAATGATAGCTTAAATCTGGAAGATTGGTGGTGTTGCTTGGTGGTATAGGAAGTGGGTGTAAGAGGTAAGCCATGTAATCTATCTCCTCTCATTTTAAATGTATATATAAGAATTCTTAGTGTATATATTTTGAGTATTGCATATAATCTAAGAATGGTGTATTGCATGTGGGTTTAATGTAAAGATTGTTATGGAAGTGTGATATCATGGGTATTGCTTGAAAAATTAATAAAATGTGTAGGTGGATGTGTGAGCATAAGGTGTTGCATGGAAAAAAATACGAAGAAAAGAATTATTGTATGTAAGTTAAATTTTGATCTAGAGATTTAATAGTCTAGTGGATAATTTAAAAATATTATGAACTGTTCTTGAAATTGAATGAATCCATGGATGAGTAATTACAAGAAAACATGTAAAATTTTATGATGTAGAAAATTATGCAAATTCAAGTATACTTTTATTATGTTTGCAATTTTATAAGAAAGGTTTAATTTAGTGTAATTGGTTCAAATAAATATTGATTTAACAAATTCGAGAAGACTAGTTGAATCAATTTGAGTAGATAATTTTACTCGATATAAATGGATTATTTAATTTGACTCGAATTGATTATTAAACTATTAGCTTAATCGATTCGAGTAAACAATTTTACTTGATGTAAATGGATTATTTAATTTGACTTGAATTGATTATTAAACTACTTGCTTAATCGATTCGAGTAGATAATTTTATTCGATGTAAATGGATTATTAATTCGACTTGAATTGAGTATTAAAATTCGATTTGCGTAAACCATTATGGATTTAAGCATTATTACATATTAATGCTCGAGTGAGATTATGGATATTGGGCATATCAGGTCCAGAGGCGAAAACCTCAAATAATGCCACACTCAAAGCTCCGATGGAGGGGTCGTCTACGAGGTAGAATCTCACGCAAGGTAGGTATGCTATCATACATTCTCTTTATTGATACATATTTAAGTTTTGTTCAAATGGTTGTTTTATGATCTATTTTGAGATTTAATAACTAAGTGGTGTAATATTTGGGTGACAGAGATGGTTTAAATGACGGAGTAAGCCTTTGTGGCTTGGGTTGATTGTGTGATGAAATCTATGCATGCATTTTGAGTTAACCGTTTGTTAGCTGAATTTATTTATGAGTATGATGCATTTCTATGATGAGATAATAATGTGGGTGTGAGCCATTGAAATGACGAGAATTGTGATGAGAGCATGAGTCGTACAATCGATTGGGAATATTATAAATACACGAGTTGTCCATATGATAAAAGTGTCATATGAATCGTCTTCATGACGGAAAATATTAAGTTTGTGTATTGTATTCGTGAGGGGAAATATTAAGTGATTGTAAAATGTCTACATGACGAGAATTATTAAGTAGTTGTGTGTCGTCTATGTGATGAAAAATATTAAGCTTGTGTGTCATCTACATGATGGGAAAATATTAACCATATGAGTCGTCTTCGTGACGGAAAATATTAAGTGATTGTATGATGTCTACATGATGGGAAATGCTAAGTTTGTGTGTCATCTACGTGACAAAAAATATTTAGTTTGTGTGTCATCTTCGTGACGGGAAATATTAAGTGATTCTGTAACGATTACATGACAGAAAATATTAAGTTTGTGTGTCATCTACATGATGGGAAAATATTAAGCATATGAGCCGTCTTCGAGACTGGAAATATTAAGTGATTATGTGACGTCTATGTGACGGAAAATATTAAGTTTGTGTGTCGTCTTCGTGACAGAAAATATTAAGTGATTGTGTAACGTCTATGTGATGGGAATTGCCAAATAGTTGCATGTCGTCTATGTGACAGGAAATATTAAGTGATTGTGAATCACCTATAAGAAGGGAATTAATTGCTTGATACGAGTCATCTATATCAGTGAAATTAGCCTTGTGATTCGAGTTGATTAACAATGGTGTCTACATGACAGAATTAAATTACATATTTAAGTCGTCTAAGTGACAATAATGAGAAGTATCTATCTGATTTGAGTCGTCTAAGTGATGAGAATTATTTATGTAGCTTGAATTTCCTATGTGACCGGTGGTATGCACGAGGGTATTCGTTGTGTGGCATAATTTAATTATGTGAAAGTAATTATTTTAATGCTAAATTTTGCCTCTGTGATTTATACAAGTTATGTCTGTGTGATGTATCCAAACAACATCTAAGTGGTGAAATATAATTTGAATGTTGGTAATTGTAACGTGGTTCAGGTTGTTTTTAAATAAATAAAGTTTATTCTTTATCTCTTGTGCTCATGATTATTGATCGCATCTTTACTCTCACTAATGGTCCTAATGACTTTTCAGGAAAAATCCTAAAGACGCGAGGAGTCCACTGCAGTGTTTAGAGGGTCAATTGAGATGTAATCATGTTTTTTTTAATGTCCTTCAAACATAATTTGTATGTATATAGGTCATAGTGTTTTTTTTATTTGTATCATAGTCTGTGAAATAGTAGGACTCATGGTGAACCTTTTTATCTAAGGGTTTTGGTGAATTTCTATGTATATGAAGGTGGCAAAGATATGCGGTTGTTGTTGGTTTCTCCTCATCATTTGTGACAAATATATTGTATACCGAGTTGGGGTGTTACAACCATGATCACAAGTAATGGTCGAAAAAGATGAATCGATAGTTGAGAACCATCTCTATAATAGAGGCCAGACCACTGAGAAAGATCCACTATCAATCACAAAAACGCTTCACAAAGCCAGCTGATCTTTTTACTTGTTTCTTGCTTTTGAGCAATTTTACTTTCATGTAAT